GTGTGTGTGGCCAGCTCAGCCCACCAGGGGGCGGGGCGGGCTGGCATGTGGTGCTGGGGGATTGAACCGCGGTCCCTTTGTTTTTGCTAAGCTTGTTCTAAGTAGGTGCTTTAGACCACTGAGCCATCTCACCAGCCCCTCTTTTTATTTTAAAAAGGAAAAAAAAAAAAATTCAGAACAAGATAATAGAAAGGTAGCAATGGTTACATTTTTGGTTTTTTGGAGACAAAATTGATTATGTAACCAAGGCTGGCCTCAAACTCCAAATCCTTTTGCCTTAGCTTTCACAATGCTGAGATTACAGGCATGTGCCACCACACCTGTACATTTTTAAAGAATCATTAACTAGTAATGCAGAACATGATTTTTATTTTCAGATAGACCTTGGTTTGAACCCTGTCTCTAGCATTTATTTACTGCTTTGAATTAGGCAAGTCACTTGTTAAGGTCATAAATTTCTCTTTTATAAAATAAAGGTCATCGTGATGTTTGACTCTCAGGGTGGCTGTGATTATGAATGAAGTAATTCATATAGAGATCTCAGTGTACAATTAGGTGTGCAACAGATTGGTAGAGTATTTGCCTAAGACACATAAATTTCTAGGTTCAGGGACCGGGGAGATGGCTCAGTGGAATTAAGTGCTTCCCTGGCAAGTACAAGGGCCTGAGTTCAATCCCCAGTTCTGCCAAAAAAATAAAATAAATAAATACATAAATAAATAAATAAATTTCTAGGTTCTATCTAAGCACCAAAAGCAAACAAGAAAAAAAAAAAAAAAACATAGATACAAAATGAAAACCTCAAGGGCCAGTGAAATAGCTCAGTGGACTAAGCACCTGCTTTGGCTAGCACAGGGACCAGGGTTTGATCCTCAGTCCCATGCACTGCGCACACCTCGCCCCTGGGCTGAACTAAGCTGGTGACCCAGCCTGGGTGTGGTGGCACACGCCTGCAATCCCAGCACTGGGGAGGCTGAAAACAGGAAGATCACTACAAGTCCTAGCTATGTAGTGGGACCCTGTACCAAATACATAAAATGATAAAAAAAAAAAAAAAGAGAGAAAGAAAAAGAAAACCTCAGTGTAGTACCTGGCATATGGTAGGTAATTTATTTGTATATTGACTTGTATTATTATTTACCCTTTATTATAGATTTTGAAATCAGGAGTGAGAATGAAGTGAATCCAAAGCAAGAGATTAGTGAAGATGTAGAGTTTGGGACCACGTCCGAAAGGCCTGGTGGGAATGTTGAGGAAAATCCTGAAAGCGAAGAGACCTTTGAAGGTGGAGACAGATCAGAAAGACAGTGGGGAGATTTGACTGCAGAAGAGTGGGTGAGCTATCCTCTCCAGCAAGTCACCGATCTGCTTGTCCACAAAGAAGCCCACACGGGCATCCGATACCACATATGCTCTCACTGTGGGAAGGCCTTCAGTCAGATCTCAGACCTCAACAGACACCAGAAAACCCACACGGGAGACAGACCTTATAAATGTTACGAATGTGGAAAAGGTTTCAGTCGTAGCTCCCACCTCATTCAGCACCAGAGAACACACACTGGGGAGAGGCCATATGACTGCAATGAGTGTGGGAAAAGTTTTGGAAGGAGCTCTCACCTCATCCAGCACCAGACAATCCACACTGGTGAGAAACCACACAAGTGTAATGAGTGTGGGAAAAGTTTCTGCCGGCTTTCCCACCTAATTCAGCACCAGCGAACCCACAGTGGGGAGAAACCATATGAATGTGAGGAATGTGGGAAAAGCTTCAGCCGGAGCTCCCACCTGGCTCAGCACCAGAGGACACACACTGGTGAGAAGCCTTATGAGTGTAATGAATGTGGCCGAGGCTTCAGTGAGAGGTCTGATCTCATCAAACACTACCGAGTGCACACAGGTGAGAGGCCCTACAAGTGTGATGAATGTGGGAAGAATTTCAGTCAGAACTCTGACCTTGTGCGGCACCGCAGAGCCCATACAGGAGAAAAGCCCTACCACTGTAATGAATGTGGAGAGAACTTCAGCCGCATCTCACACTTGGTTCAGCACCAGAGGACCCACACTGGAGAGAAGCCATATGAGTGCAATGCTTGTGGGAAAAGCTTCAGCCGGAGCTCTCATCTTATCACACACCAGAAAATTCACACTGGGGAGAAGCCCTACGAGTGTAACGAGTGTTGGCGAAGCTTTGGCGAAAGGTCAGATCTCATTAAGCACCAGAGAACCCACACAGGAGAGAAACCCTATGAGTGTGTGCAGTGTGGAAAAGGGTTTACTCAGAGTTCCAACCTCATCACACACCAAAGGGTCCACACAGGAGAGAAGCCTTATGAATGTACCGAGTGTGAGAAGAGTTTCAGCCGGAGCTCAGCTCTTATTAAACATAAGAGAGTTCATACCGACTAAGTCTTTTAATTATGATGACTGAGAAATTCACTTAAAGGTACAGTTTTATTTGCTATCAGTGAGCCTCCTTATAACGGAGCTCCCTACTGACTTATGTTAATTGAGTCACAATTTCAAACATCAAAAAAGATAATCTTTTCGAAATTCTGACCCACTTCCTCCAAAATAATAATTTTTGTCCACTCAGTATCAATGGATTACTTCATCAAATCAGCCCCACAAATAGGTGGAAATCTGAAGATCTTGGGACAAATGCTGGTGCATGCTGAGGCCTGGACGTGGAGTAAATCTTTAAAAGTTCTTTCTCCGAGCCGAGGCCTTTCTCCTAAATTCTGCTAGGAGAACTATAATAGGATGGTTCTGGCTGCCTTGGGAAAAGGTGACCACACTCAGCCTGGCTTGCCATGTTTAGTCACACATCGTAGTAGTTGGGTACACACTTCTACTCCAAAGGGCTTTTTCCTTGAGTTGCTCACACATTTGTATCTTTCTGTCTTCCTGAGAGCAGAATTCTGCATGGTGAAGGCAATGATCTCAACTTTTCTCCTTCTGTTTCTACTTAACTAGTTTAAATCTTGCATCTTTATGAAAACCAACAGAAGATACAGTGTGAAAAGCAAAATGAGACACAGGTTTGAGGACCAAGGACCCATCGATGGTAGTGACTTTAGAAGAAATGCCCATTGCTGTCATTAATCAGGTTTATGCAACGGAAGGGAACATTGTAGGGAAGATACCGTCAAGGCAGCGTAGGGCCACACCTGATATTGGAATGAAAGGAACAAGTGGAACTGCCACCTCCTGGGAAGGAAGCACAGTCCTCTCTCAAGGGACATGGTTCATTTCTGTGTGTGTTCCACTTTAATCTTTATGATTTGTTCTCCCTGTACTGCTAACTATAGGGTTTGCTAGGGCCACATCTCAGTTTTTATCTTAGCTTGAGTAAGGGCATGTATATGTACAGTGAAATGTGTATTCCTTTGGATTTTTAATAGCAGAAACTGAATTCACAAAGAATAAGCATGTTCTTGGGTGATGTGAATCACGTGACAGAACTAATAGAACTCCAGAGTGAGAAATGTCTCTCTTCCATTTGTTATGGAAAAAAAAAAAAAAATTTAAACACTAGTGCTCGAGTATGCACTCTTGTAAAGTTTGTCTTTACTGTACAGAACTAAGCACTTGTTTGTATGCACCCATCCGTTGTGAATGGTGAAGCCTGGACAGATAGGTTGATTGTCCTGTTCTAAGACTGATTGTGTTTTATGTCGATGAAGGACTCATTGGCATAATCAGCAGGAATTAACAAACCTAAGTAGGAATGTATTTCTCTCCTTCCAGCCTACAGATATAAGTGGTTAAAATAATTGACCCAGTCTCAGCCTCCTAATGTCAGTTCTTCTTACCTCTGCTTGAGTAGGAATTAATATATATTCCAAATGTGTTTATTCAGTCCTGTGGCGATGGGAAGGAATGGGTGCTAAGGAGCTGAGACCGAAGGAATATATTTTCTTCTGAAAATGTCTCAAACGTATATCTGCTGTGCTTTATTGTGAATGTTATATAACATTTTAAAACTTTTTCCTCCATAGCTCTTTGGAATTTGGTGATAAAGGAGCCAGTGGTCTCTCTTGAGCAGTGTACCATAGTCAGTTATTGTAACCCACAGCTGGGTGATAGTGTCTCACCTGCAGATGACACAACCTCAAAAACAAAACAAAGCACACTCCAAGGAGGTTTCCTCACATTGCCCCCCCTGTTTAATTACAAACTTGGGGCAGGGAGCATGGTTTTTGTTCTATACACAAGCTAGCCGGCTGTGGGTGTTCCTATTTGAATTGCTGGATGCCATAGATGTTCTTGGTAACTAAGCTCAACTTTGTCTTCTGTATCAGTGTTGCCGATGGTAGTTATGAATGGACTTCACTGTTTTCTGAATGCATCTCTGAGCCACTACAAGTGTCAGCTTGGGAGTGGCAACAGAGGACCTCTCTGTGACCTGAGCGTATTGTTTCCCCTTCTCCGCTGCTGCTCTCCTGCCCCGTCCCAACCTGTTCCTGCTGCTGTTTTTTGGCTTCTTAGAGGTGAAGGGCTTAAGAAGAGACTTCTGAGTCCCCCAGCCCTTTCTTTCCATACACGTATGCTCCAGCTGGGAAGTGGAAAGGGCAGCGGCCTCCCCAACCCTTCTCGTTCTGCTGGTTGCTGCCGTTTGATGTGCCGAACTTCCTGTAGAAGTCATGCAGCAGAAGCTCTTCGCTAATGGTTTTTGCATGCCTTCTGCTCCCACGTCCTTGGCTGCTTCTGCGCATACCCCAAACTCTGTGCCTGTTTCCTATGGTTGTGCAGAGTGAGTGAACAAGTCTGTAGAACAGTTTTCCTTATGGTATTGGCCACAGTTATCCTAGTGTTGAACTACATCTGTATTATTCTAACAATATTCTCTAATTAAAAGTATTTTAAAATCAAAACAAGTGAGGATTCTTTTAGTAATCTAGCACCAATTCATAGGAGGGCTTTTCATCTGATTCATTAAATTTGGTTTTTTGGTTTTTTTTAGATTCATTACATTTGGACCCGACTGTCTTTACATGGATGCTTTTTGTACAGATGTACAGATACCATATGCGTTCTTGTGGGAATTTGGGAGTACTAGTGTCTCGAGCCCTTGGCTAGTGCTATATCTTGAGAAGGTGCAAAAATGTGGACAGTTTTCCATGAAGGTTGTGCTGGTGGAAAAAGGAACATGGAAACCTTTGGTATGGATGATTCGTTAGCTTTAGAGGAAAAAGGAAAAAAAAAAAGAAAAGAAAAGTGAGATAAAGCCTTGTTGGCTTTTTGGGTCGTGGGTGATACTGGAAATTGAATCTGTGCTAAGCAAGTGCTGTACCACCAGGTTACATCCTCAGACACTTCCATCCCTCCTTTTCAAACTGCATCATGCTGAGTTGCTCAGGCTGACTTCAAACTTCTTCTTTTTTTTTTTTTTTTTCACTAAATCCAGTTTTATTTTTTTAAATTTTTTTCCATAATTTTATTGAGAAACAAATAGCAATGAGACAGTTTCAAATCAAATTAATGGCTGAAGGACTTTTTTTTAAAGTTACATGATTTATATTCTATCAATTGAGAAAAATATCATTGAGATATAGTTATGTGCCCATAAATATTTGACTTCAAACTTCTGAGCCTCCTGCCTCACTGGAATTACAGGTGTGTGCCACTGGTCCCTCTACCTTATTGCTTTAAGGAGCTGGGTTTTTTTGTTTTTTCATTTTTAAAAGTATTGATCTTGCGGGGCCGGGGAGGTAGCTCAGTGGAAAAAGCGCTTCCCTGGGAAATGGAAGG